AGCTAAACATAAAACAGCAGCCTATGTGATTTCTTGTTTTACACCTATGATGTTTTTGATTATATATATAAAATCTTTTTATACTAGAAATAAATCTTAAAACCAACAACACGACATATTCGAATACATATGGATGAATAAGCTGAATTAGAATTTTCACGTAAACTTAAATTCCACATAACATACATTATCATAGAATCTGGAATAAATAAAGATGTAAGCAAAGCACGTAGCGTTAATTTACTAGAATACACTAATTTTTTATAGTCATTCGCGTGGTAGTTTGTTCCTCTTACTTATTGCTAAAATGAATTAAGAAACTAAAGAAATCATTGCTCCATAAGAACCTAAAATCACGATGCATATAATTAAATCAAGAAATAAATTCATTTCTTCAAAACCGAAAATACCGCCCAACAAACATTTTCTAACAACTCACCCTCAGAAACAACATGTAACAATATTTGCTGAAATGGCTCAATGGTAAAAAGTTATTAAAATGATACTCGTAAACATTACCATCAGTCACGTGGCATACGATTTCGAGTCAGCCGAAATTGATAAACATAGCTCGTACGAACTACAAACACAGAACACAATGAAGAAAACTATTATAAACTATACACCATGCCAAGACGTGAGAAGCCTCTTTAAATACTTTAACCAGTACATTATTTTTCTGATGTAAACAACTCTAAACCTGGACAAAAAAAAAGGAAAATCGAGGAAAACATTAAGTTAATGTAAAAATATGATAAAAGTGTAGCAGAAACGCAGCGAAGAAGTTTTAAACTCCTGTTGTCCATTTCTTTTCTTTACCTCTGTACGTGAGAACAGGTGTGTGACCCAATGGTTAGCGAGCAGGACTGTAAAAGGAGGGTATGTGGTTCGCGTCCTGTTGCAGTAAAATCGCAGTCTACACTTTGGGGTCGTGAGTGCGTTAAAAAGGTGATGGTCAAATCACCTTATTCGATTAGTTTGTTTGTTGAATTTCACGCAAAGCGACACGAGGGCTACCTTTGATAGCTGTTCCCATATTATAATTTTAAAATGACAGACTAGAGTAGTTGGCCCCAAAGGTTGGCCCACGGTCCACAACAGACCATTGCAAATTTGATTTGTTGCTTGCTCTATGATCAAATATTACATAAGTAAGCATAACTGTATTTGGAGAATGATGTCTTCCCCAAACAGTTCATAACTGGAGACCACTGGGTTAGAGCAGATGGTTATCATCTAAAGTGGTCCAGTATTAAAAATAACTGTGGACCGCTGGATCATAGCAGATGGTCATCAGTAATCAGGTGTGGAAAATAACTGGGGACCACTGGATTAGAGAAGATGGTCATCATCTGAAGTGGTTCCCTGTGAAAAATAACTGGGGACCGCTGGGTTACAGCAGATGGTCATCACTGATCCAGTGTGGAAAATAACTGGGGCCAACTGGATTAGAAATTGAAGAAGCGCGAATCCCATCAAAAGCTATAAATGCTCGTACTCAAACAGAGCTGTAGCTCGGTGACAAAAAACACTACCAATGCTGATATTAACCAAACCAGAGGGAAAACTGTCTTCCTTTTGAACTTTGTAGAATGTTAAGTGATTTAGATTTTTTTAATATATAGTGATACATCAAAGACCTGAAATAAAAAACAAACTGGACTAAGATATCTCCAATATGTGCAACAATACAAACTTTTCTGCTGCCTGAATTTTGTCGACTTGGAAGCACATCAACAAAAAAGAATTCTTCAATTGGTATGTTTGACAAGCTAGTGGACTAATATCTATTTTATTCCTTCTGCAACACAGTAAAGTTATACCACCAAACTATTAAAGGTTTTTTAACTTCTCCCTTGTATACGATAGTGGCGTATAAATGAGGCCATTGTATATTCGGCCAATACCTAATATTATATCAGAAACAACACTTGTTTCTTTGATCATATTAGAAGCTAACAACTTATCACCTTCAAAGATTAGCTTAAGTAACTATCTTTCTTTGTCCTGTTCATCTAAACTTTTATAGTACGCATTTGTCACACTGCAACCTACACACGTGTCGCTAAATCCCTCTTTCCGGTTGAAATGGAACCCGGATATAACTGTTTATAATGACAGAGTATCCGTGCTCTACCTTTCACGTTAGTTAGTTCAAATCGCGATTGTCAATGAAATTTATATTTTCATATCAAAGATATTTTAAAGTACCGCCACATGTAAGAAGGTGATATTTTTACATTCCATTTCCTCTGGATATTAAAAATTAACCTAACTTCCTTTTCCACACGTAAGGCTTACGAATGAATAGAGCTTACATCTGATAGACAGTGTATCCCAAACCTCTATGTGAGCTCTACACCTACATGTAGGTACCTCTCTTACAAAGGCACATTTTACCTTTCCAGCATTGTAGTTTGTAACCTAGTTCAACTTGTCTGTCTTTTATGTATATTATATATATATATATATATATATTATTTTTTTTTTACTTTAAGTAATGAATAATAAAATATGTTCAACACACCGTAACAATGTTCTTGATCTAACATTTCATTGTGTCCGGATCTTTTCATTCAAGGACGTAAGTGGCTAACCTTGATCTAAGAAACTTGCAAGAAGTTTACAAAAGTTAAGAAACTATATATATGAAAGTTTATGTTAAATGACAAGCTGAAGAATCTGCTTCACATACAAACAAAAAAATAGTATTAAAAATTATGTCGCCACACAGTCTTGTTCCAAAACGCTTATAAAAGTCTTGCATATTTTCTCGGTATAGTTTTTATATTTATAATCACCTAACCGGTTTTATGACATAAATTGAACATGTTAGTCCAACAGATCTAGGTCACGAGCCAACGAACACAAGAACCATTCTCATGAGCGTGGCCCATATTTTCAATCTGCACACGTGGCACAGGTTAATAATATAATAATAATACTCTTGTTTTATAATTTAAAACCACCATCTTTGGAATAATGTTTAATAATATTAAATCAAATCAGTAAACAGTCTTTTGTTTGTCGATTTTATCTTAATTCTAAATCTGGATCGAAAGACTAAATGCCCAACCTTCTCTTCCGATTTTAATTACTTTCAATGTTTTATACCAAAATCATAATATTTTTATATAACTTTTTGATTAAAGCACTGCTAAACATTCCCAAATAAATTAAATCGTTTCTTTCATACAGAATATACCCTTTAACGCTATGTGACACAGCAGTTTATCTTAAACCATTTGTTCCTTGGAGATAATAGAAGAATCCACTGGTAAGTATTAATCAAACACTCATACAAACATGGGATACTTTTACTACGTAAAGGAAAATTAGACACCTTATTCATAACCACTACAAAAGATCTGGTACACCTTATGTATAACCACTATAAAAGATCTGGTACACCTTATGTATAACCACTACAACAGATCTGGTCTTGTTCTTCAGTTTGACTTTGTCCAGGGTTACTAGTGAAATATTTCGAAATCCCTCTTAACTCAATGACAAATGGCGAATTCAAAACTGACTGGGCCTCAAACACATTTCTTTCTAGCCGAAATTCTCGGTTTTGGCAACGAGGGAAAAACAGACTATATTAAAAATTGTCCACATTTTATTTAATCTTTGAACAAAATAACGAAATCATGCTAAAAATGAATAAAAAATTAAAAAATATTTGATACTCGCGGAGTTAGAAAATAATCACTTCAAGGCACGCTTGCCATCAACATCGTAGCAATTATCGATTTTTCTCAAGGCTCAGACTACTAATTGGTATGTTGCTTTCTTTTATTCTCTCAGACTGCCTTCAAATGGAGCTGTTCTCAAGGACGAGAGAAAATGTCGCGGAAAGCTACAAGTTTACAGGTGTGAAAAAACAACAATACAAAGTAGTTTAGCCTAAAATTAGTAATAACGAATTTAGTATGTTTGTCATACCTCACGAGCCCTGGTATTGGACGAAAGGCCTCGTCAGGCACATGTAGTTTGGTTGACATATCATATTCTACTTTACTTTCACTGGTAAGTTTTTAGAACCAATTATGCTCAGATCTAGTCCTTACGTTATCTCTTTAGCCCAGCTAGATTTCTTATTCTTAAAGAGCGATAACAAGTAGAGCCAGTTTGAACTGGCAAGAAAGTAGTCACAGGTCACAATGCGAGTGCAAACCCATGACAGTTTATTATCCAAAACGAGGTGAATATCCACATATATAACAACTGAATAAAAAGGCCGCGATTCACGACGAAGGTATCTTCCAATCTAGGGTGTTAAAAAGCATTTCTGCTGAAAAATGCAGTGTAAAGCTTTATAGCACAACATCTCATATGCAGAAACGTCAAATTACTAAACCACGTTCTTAAAACTTACTTTTGACAACACTGTCGACCGATTACTCACTAGCTTATACAACCAATAGCTAACAGGAGTTAAAATGTTTTGATTTTATATGCTTGGTTCTTTGTTTGTTTGAATTTCGCGCAAAGCTACATGAGGGCTGTCTGCGCTATCAGTCCTAAATTTTGTAGTGATAAATTAAAGAGAAAGCAAACATAACAGCAAATGTACAACGTTTCGACAAGGTTTTGTCATCATCAGGTCGAAACGTTGTACATTTGCTGTTATGTTAAACTTATATTAAAGTTTTTCTTCATTATCCATTCAAGCCGTCTCCAGCCATTATTAGTCTCAAAGTGGGTTCATCGTCATCGAATTTAAAGAGAAAGCAGCTACTCAACAGCACTCGCCGCCAAATCTTGGGTTATTCTAATGAAATAATGAGAACATACCGTTACTCTTATAACGCACCTACAAAACCAAAGTATGGAGTGTGTTTTGGCGGCAACGGCATGTGAGACATGGAAGTCCGGATCCTAAGTCCAGTATGCTAACCATTAGACCAAACCCAGTTCAAACAACTATAAATTAAAACAAATCACATAGTCAATGCATAAAACATAATAAAAAAATCAACAAAAGAACAATAACTTACCCGCAAAATGGATTCCACTTCAGGATGTTTTTTATTTTTTACGTCCACCTTATAGAACACAAAAAATTAATATAATAATTTTATTAGTTTTTATGAATGAATATTTAAAAAAATTCTAAAACTTTATGTCTTAGAAACCACTAAGATTTTTTCTATTAAAACAAAAACTGATTATAATCTATTAATTTATATCAAACATTAGTAAAATAAACGTAAAACATTATTCGTTTGTTCGTAGGTAAGCACAAAGCGGCACAATGGGCTATCTGTGATGTGCTTACCATGGGTATCGAAACTCGGTTTTTAGTGTTATAAGCTTTCAGAATCACCGTTGTGCTACTAGGGGGCGAATAAAATATTAAAGAAGTGAAATATTATGCATGGCATTGTCAGTAACTGAAATTAATTATGTATTATATTTCCAAAATTACGAACACTTTAACAACTTTGTTTTTGTTTTATTTTTGTGTTTTGAGAATAATAATACAATACAAAATTTCTCACCTGGTGTGTTGTATGATTCAACTTGAAGTGGTTCTGTTTGTTATGTCGTACTTTTTCCCTGTCAGTGGCCTGACAGGGCGTTGAGGTACAAAGTTTGGTAGTTGATGAAGACATAGGAACATTACCAGTGTTTCTGTGATGGGCTGTAATAGTAGGTTGAGAACTAGTTGTCCTCATTAAATCATCTATATCCTTAACTGCTTTGGCCGTAGATTTGTACGAATCTGATGGTATTTTTGGGACAACCTCTTCCCTCTGATCCTGTTGAGCACACTTTTTGGAACGATGATGTTGGCTGCTCACGATGGGGGTCGTCGATTTCTGATCCCTTTTTAACAGTGATGAATTTGTCGAAGTAAGAGACTCGTTTACAGCACATGGATTATCAGTCGGAACCGACCTCGCCAAATTACTATTGCTGGATGATGGTGACTGTCGGATGGGATCACATCCTGTTTCTTTTCCATTCCGATCCACTGCTGTGTTACTGACGCCAGTGGCCACAGTTTTAGAAATTCCAATCAAATGTGTGGGATCTTTTGTTAAATATGGCTGCACTTGGTTAAAATCTCCTAGCGTGCGTCTAATCCGTCGAGAAGTTTCGTCTTCAAGGCGTGGCACGACCTACTCAATATGACGAACAATATTTTAAGTGTTAAATTTTTAAAATCAAGAAAAAATTTCTAATAATACATTAACTTTTATATATATTTGAAGTTCCTTCCAAGTTATAATGTAGTAAAATATCTTAATAAGCTTGGCAGTATAGTTTTTGATAAAAACTTCTATTTTGTCTGGTTTGAGTCTCTCATTTTTGCTCTATATATTACGATCCTTGGACAGTTTTGATATAAAATTTACTACAATAACTGAAAAAAATAAAGTAAATGTGAGTTAAGTTAATGATAATGCATGTATATGCACTACAAACATGCCTTGTCTTATTAAAGCCACTGAAAATCATTATCGACTTAAGCAGGACTCAGTGTACGTTATACGTGGCAACCAAGGCTGATACAGAGAGTAGCGATGGTAAGAAATGTATTAGAACTACATTTTGGCATTGTTTTTCGTTTATTAGTTAGTATGATGCCACCGAAAACTGTTCGCTTTTGGAAAAGGTATGTAACAGTCGATTTAGATGCAAAATATTCATTGTACTTAAGGGAATTCGAAAACAAACAAAGATGGATCAACTTCGGAACCAGGACCTTCCAGACAGACCTGCAACAACGACTAGCCGTCCAAGTAGCCCTGGAAACAGTAAGCAACATAATCAAGAAGGAATTCCGTCTGAAAACGAGATCAACAGAATGTGGGTTTACCAAGATAAGCCTTCCGGCATACCTCAAGCTGCTGCAGAATGCAAGATATTCACACTATTATATGCGAAGACATACCAGTCAAGTCGCTGAATTGTTTTAAAAAAGGCTTTGGAAAACCGTCATCGTCATGACTTGTATGGATTATAGAAAGTACGCAATGAGCAGTTGTGTGCTTTGGACGTGACAGCCTTGTGCAACAAAAACTGCGCTGAAGTGCTACAGTCCAGATGCACGGTCGTCAGAGCATGACAGGTCTGGTGACATAGACTGTAACGACGTAGTGTCTCTCCAAAATCGTTTTAATACAACATACTCAAACCTATATATATATAATTTATAAATAAATATATATGTATTTACACATATTTATTGGAATTTGACTCTAGAATGGGAAATAGAAATAATCTGAAAATAAGGGTTCAGACATCTTATAAACTTAGTATTCTGAAAACTAACGATGGTATTCGTACACATAATTTGTCATAGTAATTAGATTATTAACCCAGAAATTTTACTGATCTCTATAAAGGCTGCTTATTATAAATAGATTAAAATTATGCTTTTAGAATTTTTTAACAAATGTTACTTCACATAGACTAAAAAGCCAATCACATAAAATAGATCAATATACATGTACATGTATCTGGGTAAATGTGCAATCCTTCGTGAAATTTAGAACTAGACATAAATAAAGACCGATATATACACAGACACACACATGACAATCTGACAAGTGTTAAGAAGTATAGTGAGACATTTCAAAACCAACCTCTACCTTCACCACACAAGCAAACACACCTGTTGGCTACAGTATTAGGATTCCCCCCTTCACAAGTTTGCAAAATACTGTTAAAAGCAAGACGAAAAAAATTATATACAATATGATGTGTCACTTGGTTTATAGGTGAAAAAGTATTATTCCGAATAGTTACATCCTTGTTAGTCTTCAGGACAATGGCTAAGAACTAGAATTCCACTGATTTTCAGGAGGGCATGATACAAGGGTACTGCTTAGCAAAAACGTCGTTATGTCTCCGCAGATTTTCTATTGTTTCTTCTTCTTCCAAACACTTTTCAATAGACCACCATTCCTTCATTTCTCGGTGAATTGACTTGTAACTTGGTAGAGTTATACCTTGGTCCAAATAAGTTTTTCTTTTTTTTTAACTTAGGCCTTTTTCATGATTTTATGGGGTCAAAGATCAAACAACCAAAATATATTAAGAGTTCCTGTGCGGTCATATTTACAGCAATCAATATGAAAATTGATACAAATATAAATTTTCATGCGCCACGCACACTGACATACAAAAAAAGTTGAATTTGTCCATTTTAAGACTTTTAGGAGGCCAGAGCTCACAAAAAAAAAGAATATTTTGACCAGTTTACATGGGATTTGGTACAAATAATTTTCTATAGGTCCTACACATTGACAAACAAAAATGGTGGATTTCTTGTAATTATAGGGGTTCAAGATGTCACAAAAAGCATAATTTTAGGTTGTTGTATTTTTTGACAATTAATTCATATTTCGGCCAATTTACATGAGATTTGGTACAAGGCTACTGTTTTTACATCTCATATACATATAAAAATGTGGAATATGACCATTCTTGGTCATTTTAGGGGGAGGGGGATCAAACGTCACATCATCATAATTTTAAGAGTTTTGGTCCATTTCTTGGTCATATTTTCCACCAATTTACGTAGAATATATACAAAGATACTCTTTGCTGATCCCAAACAGAGATATATAGACAGTTGTGGAATTTTTTGTCTTTTTGCTCACTTTTTCAGCGATGAAAGCACAATTTGGTGATTTCGTGTATGTGTATGAAAAAAGCTTCTTGCAGATCCCAAGCAATGATATAGAGTTTTCGATTCTTCTTTGTTTTTAACGATTTTTCTGATGTCAAAATTGGCCATGTTGGAATTGCGTTGAGGACACATGTTGCATTCGCCTGCGAATGTTGGCCTATGTAATTAATAGCCGTTTTTTTTTAACAACGTTTCAAAACATACCTCGGCAAATATACCAATAATGGTAATCGAAAGGGAACATCTTGCAACTATAAACTGTGGCTGCCAATCGCTGGTGATTAAAAGAGAGAAAACAAATGGAAAACGTTGCTAGTCACAACATTCGCCAACCTGTGTCATAAACGGCTGATTCCTTCAATAATGGTCCGGATTTTACCATCTTTAATTGTATCATATGTTAGAAATTACAATCAACAACCAGTCTGAAAACCACTTCTCTCACATGCAAACATAGAGCATGTCTTCATTGATGCTTAGAGTGCAAACTGTGGAAAATTAATTATTCGAGGCATGTTTTCTGATTTACGTTTCATCCTTTCCTGTACTGTTTGTTTTGTGCCACTGGGGGCTCCTGTACTAATGTAGCAGTACAAATTTAAAGAAAATCATTGCTTCCAACAATACAAGTTAATGCATGTGGAGTAATGGTGTGTGTTGGGGGGGGGGGGCATTCTAGTGACAGGAGTCGAGTCTCTTGGTCCCTTTAGAAAGGCGAATAAAAATTCAGAGTGTACCTGAATGTTGTTGTAACTCATGCCCACCCCACAATGCTTTATTTTCACCCTGAAAAACAAGGGTTCTTCAAGAGGAAAAATCAACAACCCACCATGATCGCATCGTCCAATGTTGATTCGACTTCCGTCATCTTACTTTCCCAGCACAGGTATCAGATCTCAGTCCGATTTAACATACTTGGGACAAATTTGAACGTCGCAATCTCCACAGTAATTTTCTGCAACCTTCTACAAACTAATTGGAGACGTATTTTTGACGAACGGGCAACAGATGAACAATACACATTTCTAGTTTAAAGCTTGTTTTTCCGTTTTAAACAAAAAAACTACAATTTTATTTATATTTCAAATGAGCACAATTTAATGACATCTGTAACTCACAACTACTCCAGATGGAAAATAACAATGTCACCATGTCAAACGAGTGCTGTGTTTGAGAACGGCATATTTTACAATTACTCGATGAAATATTGTTATGGGCTCCGTAGAACAACCGTTTCAATTTTATTTTCTATACGCATACTGTTAGATTTATTCTTTGTCAAAAAAGATTAGATGAGCAGCCGTTAGTAACTACTAGCCTAGAAAACTGAGGTTTGTTACAACTTCTGACTTCAAACAAGTTCATCGTATATTAGGAAATATTAAATAAAAAAAGACATGACTAAGTTTAATCCTATCAACGGTATACAATATCTAATACCTGAGTATAAATTAATTACTAAAAATATTTTAGGACTGTCACGTACTAGAGTTGGAATGAAATTAATTAAGGTCATAATCTGATTTATATCTTACAATTATTTTTAACCATTCAAAGATGTCAACAGACTGCACACAAAAAAAAAAGCTGAGTAAACTTACTCATCTCCAATTTTCGAAACATCTGATAAGCATTTAAATATTTGTAGTTTTATCGGTAACCCGAAATGGCAAATAAATATAAACCGATTCGGTTTGTTTCTTTTGTTGTTTTAGTATAGTGTTCTGCACTATTGTTTGTATTACGGTTTTGGGTGGATGTCTCGTATGTATTCTGCTGGTGGAAAGTCGTGTTGTTTTTTTAGTATAGTATTCTGCAATATTGTTGTTTGTATTACGGTTGTGGGTGGATGTCTCGTATGTATTCTGCTGGTGGAAAGTCGTGTTGTTGTTTTAGTATAGTATTTTGCAACAGTGTTGTTTGTATTACGGTTGTGGGTGTCTATGTGTTCTGTTAAACTATCAAGTAATTCATGAGCGGCTTGTTCCTCACTGTTAAGTGTTCGAGCATGCATGACACAAAGATTGCTTGATGTACAATGTATTTTTTTATTTTATTTTAGGGCGGCCTTATATGCTGTTATCCTGTGGATTAACGCTTCTTTTATAGAAATTCGGACCTTGTTAATATAGATTTAAGGCACCTACCCGATATTTTGATGAGAGAGACACGACTTTCTCATCTCTAGTTTCAGTATTGAAGTAATTTGGTCACTTACGTAAAGTACCACCTGCGGGACATATAATGGTATGCATGCCTAGTACGTTTGTTGTTGTTTTTTTTTGGCATTTATGTCTATCTCGAAAATGTTCTGAATTTGTTTTTATCAAAATCTGTAACTATGTGTGGAGTATTTGTATTTCCAGAGTAACGGTGTAGAATAATGATTCATCAGTTTTGTAGGACAAAAGTATATTATTAATTTTATCTGGAGAAAAAGTCATTTGTGTATTTCCTATATTAAATTTTCATAGTACAAAACCCCGGTTAGCCTTTCATAAAACTGATAGTACAAACTACACAAGCAACTACACGTTCTGGTACGTATCTAATAGCCAAATCGGTTGTAAACATAAGAAGGGGGAGCTAAATTCGATCCCCTTACTGGAGTAATTCAAAATACACGAATTATGCAATATTAAGATATACTTACACCCACAAATGCGCGTAGAATATTACATAAAATGTTTTAGTACTTCCTATGTGAACAGTTACTTTTCACTCTTAACACTTATGCGTGAAACCTCGTTCGAGATTTTACATGACACGAGAAAAGCTATTGTACAATATTTACTCCTTTATAATTTTACTATATTTTAGTTTTATGGCATACTTTAGCCATAGGTGTAATCTGTCATGCCTGAACTTTAGAGCAGAGTTAAACCCGATTTTTTTTTATGTTTTGCTTAACTGCCTTCACCTATACATACTAGATATACAGGTTCGTATCTATAATTAAACAGTGCGTCATTCAATGGATCGTGAAAACGTGTTTCTAAATTGATACTTCAAAGGATACAAAAGGTAACAAACATATAAACGACACCAACAGTGATTCACATTTTGCACCAATAGAATCCAAGCACGATACAAGCACATATTACGTAGTTTTACAAATTTATGACGCAGAAACCTGACTAACCTTAATTGGTTCTCCAAAGATAGGCTGCGATGACGTATGATCATGGTTGTCCTCAATTAACAGAGCTCGTGCTCTAGCCTGGCGTTCTTTTTCTCGCAGGACATCGCGTTCAACATTGCTGGAATGTGAAAAAAAGTAAAAACACTAAATAAGCTGAACTTTTACATTTCACAATTAGTTCCAAATAACAGAACCATCTATCAGTCACTCATTGCATGTTCTTATTACTTAGATAATATATTATTCCCTCGGTGAAATAAAATCATGCACTTCTGTCAATACTCCGATTCTAACAGTTTTTATCAATTTTTCATATTTCTTTATTGGGCTTTGATTTGAAGGAAAAAAGAAATTAAAAAGTGATTGTCAGGTAGCTTTTGGCAATATGTTTTCAAACAATTTGTGTTATAATATTAGACAGTGAAATCCACACGAGACTCTACCTTCCTATAGTATGTATAGAAATTTTATAATTATTTCAGCACTCCTCGAATGTGACAATAGATCATTTGTGCAACAAACTTCAACTGGACATCACATATACGACGAAAAAAAATAGAGGGAGCTATATTATGCACAACGTTTTCATTAGATTTAGTCTTAATTCAAATTTACGAAATATTTTCGTAGAAATGTTTCATTATTTTAAAGTGAGCTCTGAAAAGTTTCACTAACACTCACTACAAAAAAAAAGGATACAGACAACATGTATGTAAATATGCTGAAACAGAAATACTATATAAACAATTTCAATGACCCTATAGATAAAGACGGTTGAGTACACATTATATTTACGCGATTTTGAATATGCAGGTCAGCAAGTCACGTGACAACCACAGTCAATATAAAGTCGTTGTGGAACGGAATATATAAGAACTACATTTTTACATAGTTTGGCGTTTTTAGATAATGTGATATTACAGAAAATTCATTGGTTTGAGAAGGTTATACGTGACAGCCTTTTCCAACACAAAATATTCATACAATCAGATCACAACCGGCATGGTGAGGCTCCAACCTTTCCAACGTGCTCAACCTCTGTATTTATAATGATTCAACCATTTTAGTTCATTTCGGAATTACATCCAGGATTAATCTTTGATATTATATAATTCAAATGAAGATATATTTTAACACCTTTTTAAAGAGCTTATAGATTTTCTCTTTCAATCGAATGATCAATATTTGGAATATTCACGATTTAGGTTTAAGCAATTCCAAAGATTACACAGAACACCTGCTATAGGCTTAAGTGTAACTGATATAAGAAGTTAAAGTACTGGAATTACAATTTTGGCATAATATAATCCTCAAACTTTTAAAAACATACTTCTATAGATATGGAAGAACAAAAAAATCCAATGGTAATCATATCAATATATTACAAAATCTAATCACCTGTACAGAAGAAATTAAAATCATGTATTATAACGTACAATTTTGAAATTTTATTCAACATGTTTGTTATTAATTATTTTAAGCGATCCTAACGATACACCTCCTTTATTTATTTTATGTGTCCCTAAAAGAAAATCCACCAAAAATTGGTTCAGAACAACTAAAAACAAAAACTGGTTGTCGAAGCTTTTAGGTTTAATCGGGTTAGTCAATTTCAGACAGTGGTAATGAATGGGATTCTAATATAACAGATAAAGTAATAAAAACTGCTTTGTCTCTATCTCAGCATACATACATATATATTTATAAATATAATTTTTTTAATTGACTAAACTGTCATCACATTTTTAAACAAGAATTATGAAACGAAACTTTAAATACAGCTTGATGAGTTTGATTATGTATTTTCCAAATATAAGATTATAAACATAAACTTTGAAATACTGGGATTTTACCGTCACTCTTATAACGCACCTCCAGACCCAAAGTGCGGAGTGTGTTTTGAAGGTCTGGATCAGAATTCCGGAATGTTGAAAAGTATTTAAGAGATAATAACGAGGTTGAAATTGCCAAACAGGCGACACATAATTTTAATGAGATGGATATACATTAAGATATACCCACTTATAACCTACATATTTGATTCCGAAAGAAGTTTTAGGATCTGTCTAGCTTTACAGTTGGCTAAAACACTAGATTTTCATTAAGAGTTTTTCATCCAAAGCACCATACAGTTAAGCATGCTATGGATGTCATCTCACATTACCTATCCTTAACTGGGTTGATGAGAAGTAAAACATCTTAAAAAATAAAACACTTATCATCTCAGAATGAGGGTGTTGTTGCATGATGATAAATCGTTTTTGTTTTTCGTGTACAACTCTTAGAAAGATTACATTATAATATGTCTTTTTTTTTCTTTCTTTCTTGGAATCTAATAAGAGACAACTGAGAAATGAAGAATAACGTACGTCAATGATACTGAGAATCACAAGAATTATACGCCCCTATATGCTTTATTTAAGCATATGGTAATTGTTAATTTATTTGTAGTTCAGTAAATGTATTATTCATGTTTTGTGAATAATTTTAAGTATTGTTTTTAGATGTTGAACAATATAAGCTGTAGTAAAAATCTACACAGAAAGAAAACTTTTTTTTTATATACCTTATTACTTACAGAACGGTATTTGGTTTTAATCATAATGAAACATGGTAGTTTCATAATAGTTTACTGACTAACTTACACATCGAAATATTTCTTCCCCAAGCTCTAACACTTCAATCAAAACAAGGATTTTGTTTGTAAAACGTGATGTATGAAACTTACCACAGTTTCGAAGAATTTTTTAATTAGTGTAATTTGGTTTATTTTTATATATAACCCATAAGATGAAACTTAAGCTGGTGAAAGTGTTAGTTTAGAGAAATATGGCTGTTTTTGAACTGAAGAGGACTTTACGACTATAAGATTGAATAGTTACATGCAACTGTGGAACAGTCCTTATTAATATTTTGTTTGTTTTGTTTGTTTTTTAAGTTAAGCACAAAGCTTCACAATGGGCTATCTGTGCTGTGCCCACCACGGGTATCGAAACCCGGATTCTAGCGTTGTAAGTCCGCAGACATACCGCTGTGCTACTGGGGGGCTGTTTATATTTTATTACCAAACAATACTTCTCCCATTAACTTTAATATTTCAATTACTGTCTCTAGGTGCACTGAGAGGAAAAACTGGTCGGCCCTTTTCTTCCAACTCTATAATATTCGAATCTACACCAAAAGCGAATAACTTATAACTCTTAATCAAGTTATTCTTATAATAGCGCGAAATCTGGAATTTTGTCAGTTTCAAACACAAATCACATTTCATCCATATGTGATATGAGATACATTATAATTACGTAAACGTATGGATGAATGATTAGAAGGATAAACGAATTAAAAGAAGTAGCTGTCAAATTACAGAAACTACATACATACATACATAATTTTTTTTATCCTGCATAAAATGTTTAATATACATCATTTTTTTAAGTTTACTTCTATTACAGAGATTGTAGTAACACAATTTTCTCAGGTTATCAATGCTTTCTTTATCACTCATAAACTACATATTTGCAATAGATAAGAACATCTGCAGTAGCTACCAAGGTTACTGTACTGGTGAAAACTCAGTTCAAAAATAGACTAAATTCAACAAATAAGTACTTTACTCTTTTAAAGTCACGCGATGTATAGCGGTTGTTATATATTAACATGAATTGAAATATTGAAGTGATACTTTTCTAAGTACTAAATCTTGTATTACCGGGCAGGTAATAATCCGATTTGGCTTTCGAGTACACATAGTTATACTTACGATCTGTTATTAATATTATTGGTTATATAATGTATTACAGTGCTGAAACAAACCACAACAAACTAGATATATTCAACTAAAATGAGATAAAGAAAAGTCGTGTTTAACCCTTCAACTGCGATTGACATCATATGATGCAAGCATTTTGCGCGCAACAATTTGAATGACCCGCCGCAAAAATTCGTGAATCTTTGCGCATGGGGTTGTAGGCAGATTTACACACGCCGCAAACGAAGGGTTATATGAGTAGAAAGTGGTTTAAAGTGTTGAGATGTTAAGCCTTTACTCTGCCTATATATATAGATGAACTGTTTTGATAAGCAGTTTATTTTGAAGGGTTATATGGTGCTTGATTTAGTGTTTGACATCCTATCAAAACCTTAGAACGCTTAAATAACACCCGGCAGCAAGCCTGTGATAGATAACACTCAAGTAAATCTAGTGACGAGGAATCTCGATACCGTTGTTACAGTAGAACTTAATATATAAACAAGTGCTCGAGCCTAAAAGCGGTTCACTGACACAGTTTAGAAGCCTCAATATTTTGTTGGCTCAGTGCCATGTAGCTGCACAAAGAACTCAACAGCAACTTGGAACCGTGTTATTGATGTAGCACGTTGAAATATGTCTTGATATTTTTACATAATACGTGACATAAAACACGGTTTCCACAAGTTAATATATTCCATCTTGTTTCTAGTTACTGCATCGCTTAAAGAACATAAAACTGATACAAAATACTCTATACTTGATGTACCGTTGTAGTATTTTCCAACAAAAACGTTTTGTGCATCTCCAGTAAGCTCATGAATTCATGTATAATTAAATCTCCACGTATATAAAGGTACCTTGACATTTTACTGTCATCGTTAAATGCTATGTTACGTGCAACTAATTTAAAAATGAATAGAAATTTCACAATAAATATAACACAAGTATAACTGTAACAAACAAAATGTGAATTTTGACTCTAAACCTTGAAAAAGTGAGCGTTGCAATTGTAATAATAATAAAATGGCTGAACATTGTTGGTTCAGATATACCGAGCTGTTTAGTTGGTATTTTCAACGTGGACGACACCTTATCGTTTCACGCACTAAACCATAGTCCCCAATAGGCGAACCGAAGACCACACAGGTAGGCCCTTGAAAGCCTGATTCGTGACTCGCACTGTGCTCAGATATTGCACTTTTGGCTTTACGGTCATCATCAGAAGTGTCCGAGTATGGAAAACAATTGGGGACCACTGAACTAAAGGCTCAAGCATATATGTCCCTAACTTTTAACTGTTGACCAAAACGAAGGAAACCAATCAGTAGCATTCGCGTCTACTGTTAACTGTTGACCAAAACGAAGGA